AGCTAATTGAATACAAAATCCCAAACAATATCATAATTTTATTAATAAAAAGCATATAAAAATTATTGTATTTTTTAAACATCCACTTGCAATATGTTGCTTTAAAATTTGAGGATTTTCTAGTCTGATTCTCTCTTTCTTTCAAATTATAAGTTGTACTATTTTGTTGTTCTAAATTCTCTCTTTCACTCTCACAGAATTAATTTTAGTTTATTTTAAACTTGCTCTAATTCTGATATGATGCAAAGATACTACTTTATTTTTAAATAATTGTTCTTTGGTAACAATGCATGTTAAAGTAAAATGTAACTTAAAATAATAACAGCAACTCAAACAATATATTTTAAATCCATCATACTCGAAAACGTAACTGTGATTATCTGAAAAAAAAAAAATTTTTTTTTCACTGTGGATAATTCCTCAGTATTTAATATAACTGCTAAATCATAAGATCTCATACAAAAACATATTTGCATCAAAATACATTGAATCAGAATGTCTAGTGCAGTTGTTGGCTGTTATCTTTCACATGCTTGAGTACATTTGGCTGCCTGTGCTTTAAAAAAAATCCTACTAAAATTAAAATAACTGCAGCTTTTCTCGAGTGGAATAGGAGAGGGTTACTCTTTGATGATAGATAATGACTTCTAGCAAAATATATATTTGGCAATAGTTATCAACACATTGTAGTAGCTTGTTTAGATATTTAATGAGGAAATCTCTCACAACGTTGTTTAAATCTCCCCAAAATTTACTGCATTTCGCTGTTGACTGAGAAGAAGCTGAATGGATTTCAAACATTAGTGGATTTTGAGTCTGTACTGATGGAGCAAAGGCCTGAGTGGCATAATTAACGAGGCTGCACAGCTATCAATAATATCACCAAAAACTCTTCTAGTAGCCACCACATGCCCCATAGGCAGACACACTTGCTGCAAAAAAATTATCCTTCAGTTATAAGACTTTCTTGATGATGCTGAGACTATGTGAGGACACGAGAAGTATATTTACATGTCTTCTTTCACATACTAAATTCAAGTGACTATCTTGAGGAAATATACTAACCCATATTTTTAAGGCACGAGTTTATTATTATTATTTAATACAGTTTCAAATTGAAAAGCCAATTCTTTAATATAAATTGGCTACTTTAAATTGTCTATTTAAGTGACATTTTTTAAAATGATCAATTAATTTAATTTACCCTTCAGGGCAAACAAGTAAATATGTTTACTTGCTCACGGAAAAAAATTTTGCTTTTTAAAAAATATAGAATTTTAGACAATTTGTGTGCACTCCGGTGATTCCAGTATTGCTTTTCAAGCTATAAAAGACTTTTCAGAAGAGGAATGGGGTTGAAATAGGAAAGAAATTTATTGAAAAAAATATTCAGACATGAAAGATTTGTGTGAAGCTTTTAATCAGTACTTTCCAAACGAACAGCAAACCCATTGATTGTCAATGCACAACCTTTGACCATGTCAACAGAAGAATACGAAACTTTTATTGAAACAACATCTGATTCAACATTGTAAGAAAAATTTATGTTAATACAATTAGTAGAATTCTGGTGCAGTTTAAAAGATTAATATATTCAACTATCACAGAAGGCCATATTGGCACTTTTGCCATTTGCAACTACACGTATATGCGAAATGGGGTTCTCACTTAATGTGCTGGGGAAAAAAAAAAAATACTGCTGCAGACTTGATGCCGAATCTGGTGAGATAATTCAACTTTTAACCATAAATCTTAACATTAAATATATTTGCGACAATAAAAAGCTACACCACTCATCTCATTACAATTTTAATATTATGTTGGAATACGTTATTTTAAGGTAAGAACTTCTGAGTTAATTTTAAAATTACTTTTTAGAGCAAATAAATGTTTCAAAAGTACATATTAAATGCTTCAAAATGAAGTAATAATAATTTTTGCTGCAAATAAACCATTTACAGATTGCTGCATTAGTACAATACTACTGAAGCAAACCAGAGGTTTCACGATACAGTGGACATTAAAAATGGTTACATTTATCAAAATTATTAGAATTGCTACATTAGTGAGTATATGTCCTTATCCTAAAAAATCTGATGATCATGATTTCCTTGTACGGAATATTAAATTATAACTATTTTTTCTTGCATTTAATTTAAACTTATTGGATTGAATTAAATTTACTTCATCCATAGTGCACCACAATAGAATAAACACACTCTTTAAAATTCACTATATTTGTTTACCATAACGACACTCTGGCCCTAGGTTCATTTAACAGTGTTACATTTCATTCATTTTTTAACTCAGAATGCACAAAATTTATATCATCTTAAGAATTATCTAATCATTGCCACATGTTCCGAGAAGGCAAAAATGCATTAAAACTCAAGATCTGTATTGAAAATTATGAAGTAAATCTTAAACACTTTATTTCTTCAAATAAATTCCAGAATGGTTTAAGCATGATTTTATTCACAATAATAAAAGAAGGTATTAACTTTGTTATTGTGAAGCTTACTTTCTATAGATTGGCAACAAATCTACTATTCTGCTGTTTCAAATGTAAACAAGCAATGGCCGCCATGGAAAAAATTATTAGGCTTAGCGGCACTTAAACAACTTTTAAATTGTTGATAATTCTAAAAATATTGCATAAAAACCTTAACCGGAAGATAAGAACAACATAATTCAATCATTTTTAGAGCAAAAAATGCACAATTTACAAACATCTCTACATAAATTAAAAGGAAAGAGTCTGTCTGTGTGTGTGTCTTTTGTTCGCGCTGCGCATAAGCTAATAGACGAAATTTGGTACATAGGTGCAGACAAGAGCCAGTGCACCTCGAAGCGATTTTTTCGAAATTCGAATTGGAATTTTTTTAATTTTATGTTTTGTGACGAAATCGTGTCATTTTGAGACATAATGGGCTATAGGAAAGCGAGATTTTACTCTACACACTCCATTTTCACATCGTCATGAAACGCATGCACTTAGCTATTTTACGAACTTAAAATAAATTTCGTGTTTCAATAAATCGATTAAATACGAATTTATTTAACAAAGGGAGCTTAACACCTTTTCAACGGGATTTTTTCTAAAAAAGTTTATTTTTCTTTGATTTTTGGACACGTTAAACTTTCCTCCTTGCGACTGCTTTTGCAAAAAGAATTTTGGAAAAATAATAATATTTTGTATTTTTTACAAATTTTTTAAATGAAGCTTCCGAGTACACTTCTCACATCTTTAAAAATGTGGTTTTGGCAAAAATTTTGCCTTCTCATTGTTGTTGATAGATTTTTGATGAAATCGCATCATTTTTAATATTTCATTCCTTTAGAAATATGGGTTTGGCAACAATTTTTCGTCGTATTTCTTATGTGACTGTTTTTAAGAGATTAGCATATTTCATTGTCATTTTTTATATATATAATACATTTTTATTGATATTTTTTGATAAAGTTGTCCTGCAGAGTAAAATTCTGCGTAGATTTTTTTTTTAAAGTTTTTTTCATGTTATTTTATTTCACTGTTTGTAAGATATTGAAAAGTTTTGCATGATTTTTTTTCTTCAACAGAAAGTTGGTTAATTTTTTATTAGAATAATTAATATTTGTATTAAGGGATATAGCTTATTTTACTGTAATTTTTTTCTCTTGAAAATATAAGATAAAATATCATTAATTATACATTGATTTTTAGAATTTTTTGTATTTTTTTATGTTATTTATTTCACTGTTGCACATTTCACTGTTTTTAAGATATTGAAAAGTTTCGTGTGATTTTTTTAGGAAACAAAGTTTTTAACCTCCTTTATACCATTTGAGTTCTTAAGATTTTGCAAAGGGAAGTTGGTTAATTTATTTATTAGGATAATTAATATTTAGGGGTATTGCTTATTTCATTGTAATTTTGTTATATGTAATAACTTTTTTCTAATGAAGTTGTTCTGCAGAGTAAAATTCTACGCAGCTTTTAAATTTAACATTTGAAAGTTTGGTTTTCCCTTCAGCCATTTTTCCGATACATTTAAACGCCAGACGAAGGCTGGCAGCGAAGCTGCTAGTATAAGAATAAAGAAATTGAGATCACTGAGCTGGGTAACAGAGTAGATATATATATATATACATACATATATTTATATACTTTTGGTGTGGCCAATTGCAACCAAAATACGAGGTGCACATCTACATATTATAGCAGTCCTATATATAAAATTTCAACATTCTGAGGCTACTCGTTTTTGAGTTATGCGAGATACATACGTATGTACGTACGCACAGACGCCATGGAAAATTCTTTTCAGAATTCATTTTAAATTAGTTTTACAATTTTTTGGGGGTAAAAGAGTCCTTTATCCTGCCCTTACGTACAGATGCTATGCAAACATCGTTAAATTGCATTTGATATGGATGAAAATAGAAATTTGTGTTGAAATATGATGCCTGAAACTTTTCGCGATTACAATGCTTCCTTTTTACTTCATACAACGAAATAAAAATGGAGCTCAAGTGCTCCCCAAAATGTCATGACAAAAAAATTGTCCACAGTACTACATTTACAAGAAATGTATAGAACCCACATGATCTAAATGAAATATCTTTTCATTCATAATTTACCATTAATATTCAACAGCTACTTATGTGATTTTTTGGTTAGAACATGTGAATTTATTTTTTTCTATTTCACTGAATTGCTGCCAAGTGAAGAAGCCCAGTCAAAATAAATAAATGTTTTGGCACCTAAAAAATTTGTTTCTAAAGAGGTTTAAACACTTTTTATTAAATAAATTAGTGTTTTCATTCAAACTATTTTTGTAAAATATCTTTCTTGAAGCTTTTATTCACTTCAATAATTTTCTAATTCAATTATACTGCAGTTTCTTCTTCCATTTACAGCTTGAGCTATTAAGTAAAAATGTATGTGCTAATTCTTGCCCAGTTTTGAGAGAAATATATTGATATGTCATTAATCATTTTTAGATACTTTGTAGAGGAGGTTTTTTTTTTTTTTTTTTTTTTTTTTTTTTTTTTTTTTTTTTAAAGCAGGAGATGTAAAACATGTGCAGTGCCCTTGCTGGGACCCAAACCCTGGACCTCTCGAATGCATCTCGAGTGTGCTACAGTTCATCACAAAGGCATGATGGGAGTATCTTATATACTTCCCTTTTTAAAGGGCAATGAGGGATTAAGGGACCCAATCACCAAATCCTAGCGGTGACGATTTATCATCCATCATCTTTTAGTCTGGGTGCCAATTGTGCAGTCATTTTAGAATTTTTCGATGTTAGGAAACTGATGAAAAAATTTGCAATACTCTTGTCGGAACTTAAATCCTGGACCTCTTGAGTACATGGTGAATGTGCTATGCTTACACTAGGAAGATATTCTAAAAGAAGGGAGAAAATAAATTAGAACTTTATTTTTTAGTTAGCAGCATTTGACTATTCAGCCACTTTCTATCATTATCATCCTCAGTATTATTATTATTTTTTTGTTAAGTAATGCTATAGCCAGAGAACTTATTCTGTATTATTTGAGCATTTAAATATTACATTATTCTATACCATTAAAATTTGAGAAAGAGTTTAAGAAAGAACAATTTCAGTTGTTGGGGAGAAGAAAAAAGTATGGTAATTACAGACAAATGTCTGATCTGATTCAATGAACAGAGGAAATGGGATAATTTAATTTGTATTGTAATAGTTAAATACATACACAAACATTATTAAGATCTGCATCAACTGTTTGCATTCTGTACAAAAGCAGAACTTCACAAAAGATAATTAAAAAAGGCTTAAAAATACATAGCACTAATAAAAAAATCATAAAACCGGGAGGGGGGGATCTATGGACAAAGTTCCAGATTTACAGTAGATGATATATTACAATGTATTTCTCTGGAACACTTGTACAGATTCTAATACAAAACAATTTACAAACAAACAAAACACAAAACAAAACAATTAAAATAACTTAAAAAACAATTGAACAAATATACTTCATTCAATTCATAAGATGAAGAAAATAGCAGTTTTGCAACAGTAAACTTGGTGAAAAGCATATTAATACATTTAATGTTGAAACGATACTTTTTAAATTACAATTTAAAATTTAATTAAAATTTTAAAATATTTTAATTTAATATACATATAGCAAATATATGTGCAAAGCACACTTATATTTAAAAATCTTAATTAATTTCCAGCATATTAAAAAAACTTCAATTTTCTGTTTCCTGTATATCATGGATGACATCTTCTATCTGAATTCCAACATCATTTACAGACTTCAAAGTCTGGAAAAGAAAACAAAGTTAAGAAAAGAAAACTTCAATGGAAATTTCCATGTTAACTAAATGCAACCGCACGTAGTTGTTTAAATATAAACAACACTGCTGAATTAAAAATACCCATTACAAGTAAATAAACATAAATAAAGGATTATCACAAGTGATTTGAGTTGGAGCCCTGCAATTTCCAAATTGCTTGCAGAACTCTCATATTTTTTGAAATTCTTGCCAAAAAAAAAGTTTATGTGTACAAAATTTCTTGTTTCATAATGTAGATACAAGTTCCACTCTTAAAACAGTGAGGTTACAGCTTTTTATATTTTAGAATATGCAGAGTATTTATCTCTTGCTATTGTAAGTGAGCAATTGAAAAGCAACATGTACCAAATCACCAGAGCAATCTGCAATAATATTGATAATTTAAGAACATTGGTTGCCTGTGCAAATGCAAAAGTGTTAAATGCTCAAAGTGTTTCCAACAAAATGATGAAATTCAGAGACAGTTTTGCACATAGCCCACAAAAAGCACAAGCTGCAATCTTGGTATTTTTCTGCAGTTGTTTGGAAGATTTTACCTGGCAACCCTAGCAAACTAATGCTATTTACAAATTTTTCAGTGTAGCAATATCTGCAAATGATATGGTTTACAGATGTTACTGCAACATGGAACACTGTGGATCCAGTGGTACAAATTTTGTTCATTACACAGCACTGCAAAATGTTTTTACCAAATGTGCAAGATTCAACGTGACATTTCATTTATGTAATGACATTTATGAATGTAATGTAACATCTTTATTAATAGTGACATTGCTCTCATGTAGAATGAAAAACACTCACAATGTCCAGATACAGCATTCCCAGGAGATCAGTGAGGATCAAGAGGTCTATTGGAGGTTGACAACCAAATACGCACCACTACATTAAATACGCATAATACTCTGATAATATAACATTTATTGATATAAAGAATGTTAGTATTAAAGAATGTCAGAATTAAAGAATGTTAGAATGTCATATAAAGAATGTTAGTATTAAAGGAAGAAATCATATAAAATACATACAAGGGGGAAAATGCACTAAAATTATGATGCAAGAAGAATTGGTTGCACTGAAGAAGGATGTTTAACATGTTGATGGCAGCGCGGATATTCATTGTTCTTTTCGTGCCGCGGTGCTTGAATTAATAGTCTGTTTTGTAGGGTGGCACAGCACCAAATTATACTGTTCAATTCTTGGATGGTTCATGTTACATTTTAAGTTATTTGTTTTGTATTGAATGTTTGATTATAATGTTGAAATGTTAATGTATACTGTTGAATAATTAAAATAAAATAAAATTTTGTACTGCATATTTTTTTATATACAAGCAAGACCCATCGATGAGACATGCAGGCCCATGGAACAATCAAGCATGACCCACCGGTAGGTCATGCCACCCCATGGAACAGATAAATATGATCCACCGGTAGGTCAGGCAGGCATCAACGTGTTAAGCACAAGCCTCATTCATGGGTATGATAGGTTTTAAAATTTTAAAGTCATTTGAAAGAAATTTCCCAAAATAAAAGTTGTTTTGAACCAACATCATTGACTTTTCCCTCTTACTTAGAAAATAGGAACTAGGTTGAATGTTTTTGATACAGGTAATTTAAGAATTAAGTAATTTTATGCCAAATATTAAAAAATGCGTTACAATACATTAAATACATCTAAATCAAACTTTTCTGCAATTTAAAATTTATGGTTTTGTTTCTGAAAAGATTTTCCTTTTATAAAATTAAAAATAAAAAAACATAAATCTAATAATTGTTGGGTCATATAAAAAGTCTCTGCGCTTTTTTGCCGCTAGATGGTGTTGATGCCTATATATCTGGCAACACTCACTCGACTGTTTCAAATGATCATGTGTTTAAAAGGGGATATTCAGCTTTCATTGTTTGTGAAGATAGTGTTTTAGTTCATTGCTCATGTAAAAAGTTATATAAATTTTAACATGAGTTGAGAATGTTGTGAGTAAACGAAGGGGCCAGGAGTCGTTTGCTCGATTCCATTCCGGAAATTTCGATGTCAAAGATGCACCTTGCTCTGGTCGGCCATTCACTGAAAAAGGTCGATGAAATTTTGCAACTGGTGGAGCAAGACCGGCACGCAAGCTGCCAGGAAATAGCAGAGGCACTAAACGTCAACCACATGACAGTTTAGAATCATTTGAAAAGAGCAGATTACAAAAAGAAGCTCAATGTTTGGGTGCCACATGAATTAACGCAAAGAAATTTGATTGACTGAATTACCATCAGTGAAATGCTGCTGAAATGCAACAAAATCGAACCATTTTTGAAGCGAATCATCATAGGCGATGAAAAATGGGTGATATACAAGAATATCAAACGCAAGCAATCATGGTCAAAGGCCTGTAACCCTCCACAAACGACTTCAAAGCCTGGATTGTTGCCAAATAAGGTTATGTTGAGTGTTTGGTGGGATTGGAAAGGAATTGTCCATTATGAGCTGCTGCAACCTGGCAAAACCATTAACTCGGCTGTATACTGTGCACAACTTGGTCGTCTGAACAAAGCAATTCAGAAAGAGTGACCAGAATTGGCCAACAGAAAGGGAGTTGTGTTCCATCATGACAATGCACGGCCATATGCATCTTTGATGACTCGAAACAAATTGACGGAGCTTAGTTGGGAAATTTTGACGCATCCACCATATAGCCCGGACCTTGCTCCGTCTGACTACCATTTGCTCCGGTCCTTCTAAAACTTTTTTGATGGTAAAAAATTGGACGATTGAAGCATCGCTGAAAATCACTTGGCCAAGTTTTTCGGTGATAAGCCACAGAAGTTCTACACCAATGGAATTATGAAGTTACCTGAAAATGGCAAAAAGGTCATAGATAATAATGGTCAATATGTATTTGATTTAAATTGATTTTCAACAAAGAAAATTTTTGTTCAGAAATGTACCAAAGAAAACGTGGAGACTTTATATGACCCAATATTTTTTCCAAAACTTCATTGAAAATTTTTAGTATGATTGTTATCTGAGTTATTTACATAAAAATATTTGTATTATGATAATACCGTGCACTGTAAAATGCTACACAGTAAAATGCAAGGGGTTGATGAAGGAAACCATTCTTTTAAAAGAGGTTGATTAAAGAAGAGTAGGGACTCCCTGGTTCAGATAATTGTTATCTTATTGAATTGGATTCACCAAAAATTAAATTTCTTCACAGACAAAAGTATATGCACTCTTATCCTATAAAAGTACAGTAATGGATATGTTGTATCTTAATATGTTACAACTACAATTATTTACTCGAATGAAAGATGGTTAAGCGACATTTATATTTCAACAAGGTGGAACTTCTCATTGGCAAAAAAGCCCTTCTGTACCTAAATGATGAGCTCTCAATCCCTGAATTGGTTGACATGGGAAAATGACTAAGCGTTATCCATATGACAACCAAAGTCTCCCAACTTTATGCACAGTGATATTTTCCTTTGGAAGTATATTAAAGACAATGTTTATGCACCCCCCCCCCCCAGAGATGGATTTAAAGAATGCCCTGTGATCTGCAAAACTGAACTTTAAATTTTTTTCTAATGACACCAAGTTTGGTCTCATAAGTGCAATTTCAATTAAGTACACACTTACAGTGGTAAAACCTGATAGCATGTTTAATTGGCCCAAAACGGCTTTCAATCTTGAAACACGATTTTGTGATGTTTCACTTTTTAAGGAAGTTTGTTGCTATTCAGCAAAATATAGGATACTTACCTTTCAAATTGAATCTGTCTGCTATGAATTAACAAAATAAGTTATTTAAAAGCAATCACAATTTTTAAGAATTTTATTTTAAAACTTTCTAATCGGATTGATTTTTAAATGAATTTAGTTCATGATATATGTAATTTTAAAAAAATTAATATTTTTATAGAATGGCATTAAATATCTTTTCATTTTTCGAATATACAGAACTTAAACCAAAGATATCCAATGTAGGATATGCAGAATGATACTTGGCAGCAGTCCAAAGAAATAGGCTCCTAATCTAAATGTATGATCGTGTATCACATCAGTATGACATTCTCTCAGTTGTTGTGTCTGGGTTCACCAACATCTAGAAAGCTCAACGTCATAAATGCACTGGTTTAAAGTACACGTGCAAGAAAATTTTTATGGGAAGCAAAGCACTCTGGTTTTGGAGGAAAGATGTTTTTGAATGTTCAAGAAACTGCTATCTTCTTACACATCCATTTTAAAGCCATGCATTTATGATATTAAGCTCCCTAGATGCTAGTGTCTGGTTTTAAATTTTGGCTGCTCAGTGTATCATTGTGCAAGTTCGCTGATAGGTCATGTATCATTAGCAAGAGGTTTGGTTTATTTGATAATGGCAAAGCTCACTATGGCTATCTGCCAAAAGGTAGCTATACTTGTGTGGAGGACTTTCTAAGGAAAACTGGCTCATAGCCATGTTACACATGGGTAAAACCATGAAAACATACATGCAGCCAGCCTATTTTCCTGGAATTGAGCACAGGTCAAACTATCAGTCTTCAGCATCTTTGATGCTTGGCCATTGGTGGGTTCATCATCTTCAAAATTTCATGAACTGTATGGAACTTATATAGATGGTGATAAGTATTATAATAACTATGATTAGTCGACTCTTAAATGCTACTGATTTTAAACCCCTATAAAATAAATAAATGGTTAAAAATTGTCACAAACTATGGATTGAAGATTATTTTGATAGTGCTTCTAGCTGCGGTATGCAAAAAAGTAAATTATAGTTTTGATACTGATAAATATTCATTAGCCCATTCGGGACGAAGCTGTAAATATGCGTCAGCACTAGATGTCCTTAAGAGCCTAACCGCGTTACAGTGATCCTATGCAGCGGGACAATCGCCGCACAGTTGCGCCGTGCTTTTGGAATGAAATATTTACTAACAGATGGGTTTACTAATCTCTGTTCCATTCAAAAGATT